CACACACACACACACACACACACACACACACACACACACACACACACGAACTGTCCCACGCTCTCCTTGGTCTGCCCGTTATTACCTCATTCTCGCCAGCACAGTTCCCTAGCTGCCCATCAAGGCTGTAGAAGCCACGCCCCAATGGCCACTAGCACCAGCGCTCTAGAGCTTGCATGCCCCCTGCTGGTCCAAAACCTCAAGTGCAGGTCAAAGGCCACACACTTGTGACCGAGAGCCAGTGTCAAGGGTTCCCTGCGTTTACATAGAGAGAAAAGTTCTTGTCCAATTTCTCTATTATTGGAAGACACAAGATAGTCTGATTTGTCCTGCAGTGTCTATATGAATAAAACAATGAGACAGCAGAATTAACACAAGCGGGACTCGCTCATTTTGATCATTAATGGCTAAAGAGGAAAGTGTGTTCTGACTAAAGGGGATTGAAGCTGTGCTGCACATTATTGCTGGGCATGGTACCTCACACTTGCAACTTCTGCACTTAAGAAGCAAGAAGATGGAGAAATTCATGCCACATATCCAGACCAGGTCTCCAAAAGAATGAAGTTAAACATTTTTAAAGAAAATTACGTGTTAACCTTGTCAGGGAACACACACTTTGTTTCTCCGTGGGTGGAACTGCATGAACAATGAATCCGTTCTGACAAAGTGAAGTTGAAATTTGGAGTAATTTTATTTTGGCAATGAGATTATGAATATTTTTTGGAATGACTTTTCCAGAGTTTCATGTGCTCTTTTCATATTTGAGGAGAAAATCAGAAAACTTCTCTGAAGCAGATAAACTAGGAATTTCCAGGTAGAGGAAGCTTAAACTAGGGAAAGGTGGGGGCAGATATTAAGAAATACTTAACTGACTGTTTGCAGGACAAACAGAAAGCAAAAAGAAATAACCCTTACTTTCTGTTCATTCTGATTTTGCACTCAGTCTTTTTATGTCTACCACGACAACACGGCAGGGTATTTTAGTAGAATTGAAATGAATGACAACACAGGAAAGCATTTGCAGCCAGGGTAACTAGGTAGTGGGAGTGAATATATAAACGAGTTTACATTAGAAATTAGTTGTAATAGATAATAGCGATTGTCAACTTTACGGGATTTAGAATCCCCCAAGAGACAAACTTGCCAGCATCCCCGTAAGGATTCATCTAGAAGTTGTTAACTAAGGAGGAAATGCCCACCTTAACTGGGGGCAGCACCATTCTATGGACTTCAGTACCAGACTGAGTAAAGGGAGAGTCAGAGTGGCCTTCCAGTGCCTGTCACTCTTTCTCATTACTTGGCACCCTGTGACCAGTTCCATCATTACTTCCCTGATATCATGAACTGTGTTCTTGAACTAAGAGTCAAACAGTAGCATTTCCTCCTTTCTCTCAGACAGTTTAACACGGTAACTAGACAAGCAGCTAACACATCAACTATAGTTGCAAAAGTATCTAGTTTAATAAGCCACACTAATGTATAGTTCATAAAGACCAATCTGCAAGTAATAATTTATAACTCTAAGTAGATGATAATAATTATGTGTCAACATCTTAAAACTATTTCAAATATATTCCAACTTCAGCTAATCCGGATCACAAAACCAAATTCAAACAACATCTCATTTGAATGTCCAAACTATATCACCAAAATCGTGTCTTGTGCCTATACATGATATAAAACTCCTTAAACAAATGACCCAACATGTTATTTGGTCTTATGGCGGTTATATTGAAGCCTCCCTGAGATTTAATGGAATAAAGCTAGGCTTGAAGAATTTGGTGATGCTTTTTAAAATGCTATTAGTGCTCCCACAAGTTTTAATTATTTAAAATGTTTTAACTTTTTCCAGGGAGTATTCATAACAAAACTTCACTTTTCCCAGTCATCCATCACTACGTAATAAACCACTCTGAAATTAGTGGCTAAAAACAGCAGTAAGCATTTCCTTTGCACCAAATCTGCAGTTGGAGGAAGGCTTCTGAACACACTCCGTCTGGCTCACACAACATTAGCTGCAGGCAGCTGGGAATAAGATCGCTGGGACTGGTGTCAGCCTGGCTTGCTTACTTTGCTTGCTGTACTGTCATTCGATAACTCAGGCAGAGTTTCTGACCAAGGACCTAAGCAACACTCATGGTACCCTTGCTGCAAAGAAAGCTGACTTCCAGCTAAGTGAGACCCTAGACAAAAAGGCTAATAGAAACCGAATTACCATTTGTTATTTAGAATTTGTTTGAAAATCATGTTAAATCATCCTTGGTTGGAAAGATTGAGATTCATGTTTCTCCTTTCCCCTTACTATCCGATTATAACCACCCAATGGTTGCAAAACTACAGTATACATTATTACTGATATTGGCAGAATTAAAATCCAGATGTTGCTATCATGGTCCTTTACTGATGTATCCTTGTGTTATACTTTGTTTTGCATGCAATGTGCATCTATAGCAAAGATGACTCATGCTGACCTTCCTCCTGTTCACTCGGCTAACCACACCCACTTCTTCCCCACTGTCATTTTGTCTGTGACTGTCACCAACAGATTCTCCATATTCATTTTGTGGTTTCAAAAAAATTTCATTGTATTAATTTTAATTATGTGTAGAGGTGTGTGTGTGTGTGTGTGTGTGTGTGTGTTGTGAGTGCAGACACCTGAGAAGTTTTGAGGCATTTGGTCCCCAGAAATTGGAGTTACAGACAGTTGTTACACCTGTTACAGGTGCTGGAAACCAAAGTTAGGTCATCAGAAGGACCAGCAAATATTCTTATCCATCTTTCCTGACTCTGATTTTGTGTTGTTTACTTTTAAAAAATGTTATATAAATGGAAACATGAGCACTTAGTCTTCAAGGAGTGGGATTTTTGCACTAAACACAATTTATTTATTTGAGTTATATTTTATCAGTTGTCTGCTTTTTCATTGCTAAATCCTGTTCAGTGTTACGAGTACAGCAGGTTGTTTTTCTGTTTACCCATTGAAGAACTAGTGAATTGTTTTGGGTTTGGGCTACTATGAATAAAAGTTCCAGGAACAGTATCAAGCAGGATCTTTAGTAAACATTAAGCTCCATTTCTCTGTGATAAATATCCAAGATTATAACTTGCAAGATATTAAGGCAGTTTTCATATTCTTTTAACACTGCCAGCTTTCCATTTTGTAGTTTCTCTTAACATATTTGTCAACTTGTCTACACAACTTCACCAGTACTATTTAATGCCAGTGTATTTTGTTTTCGCTTTTCTGCTAAGTGTGTAATCTCTTATCACTACCAACCCCATGTGTATTTAATGGTAGAGAAATTTAACAGCTCCCCTTGTGGCTATTTGTAATCTGTATAGTCTCTTTGATGAAATTTCTGTTCAGATCTTTGGCTTGAAAATACTTATCAAACTGCAACTTATCTTCTGCATACTTTATGGAGCCCTTCCCAAAATGAAAGTACTACTTAGATTTCACCCGTACAATGAATACAGTAGTGAGAATGGACATTATTACCTTGTTCTTAATTGTACAGGGACAGCATCTGGTCTTTCATCATTAAGAATTAGAGTAGCTGTGGCTGTTTCATTTAGATTCTCTTACCATAAACAGATATAGAGTTTTATTATATACCTTTTGCATTTATGAACAGAATCATGTTATTTTCTTTGATATGACCGCTTTTCAAATGATGAAGTATAGGCTTGCTTCCATAGGATAAAACCTATTTAGTTACATTGTGTAATTAAAAAAATATCGCTGAGTTCTGTTTAATATCTTACTAAAGATTTGGGGACATGTATTTATGAGAGATATTTTTCTGAAAATTTTCATTTCACTTTTTTCTTTGTACTGCCTTTGAATGGGTTTTGGAATCCAAGTAGTGTGAGCTTCATTACACAAGTTAGGGAATCTTCTATGATATTTTAATTCCTGGAAGAGCCATGTGAATTCTATAAAATATCTAGATGTGGATGTTTCTTTTCAGAAACATTTTGCTATGAGTTAAATTTTCTTAGTTGTTTCAGGGTAATTTAAGTAGTGTCTTGGCTTGCATGTTTTGAGGACTTTGTTCACTTCCTCAAGGTTGTGGAGTGTATTGTGTGGAGTTGTTCACAGTCCTTGTTTGTTATATAATGTCCTCTATCATGATC